TTCTTTATTTGTATAAAATATCTATAATCCCCCTCATAGTGAGGTACAGGGGCCGTTCGAGGCTGTTTGCCATTCGGAGTGCTGGAAGGGAACACCTAACAACAGTATTAGCATAATATAGTCTTCTAAGAGTTGCAGGCATGCATCTCGGCAGTCACTGGATACTTCAATAAGGCTTCTGAAGAATCGTCTTAATCTTTAAGGCCTTCTCCGCTGAATGTGTTGGCCTTACTTGGATTAATAGGCTTAGGAGCAAGCTTTCATATTGTGTGGTGGGTGGCAGGTTCGATATGTTAACCATCAATTCAATGGATGAAAATGATTCAGGCCCAGCTGGTCTCCTCTGCACACTAGTTTGTAGATACTGATTGATTTCCTTGTAACGAGGGATCCACTTACCCAATTTGGGCCTTAGGTTTTGCTTTTTCTGCTAATTTTCACTCTCTCCCCTTCTAGCTGTTAACAGCTTGATTTGTGTTTGATATAGGGAAAAAAAATCCTTTCATTGCTTTACAGCATTTGCAGAAGAAGCATTAGCCTACCAAAGGCGCTGTAAATTGATGGATTTAGTGTATTAGATTTTGCCGTGTTAGGTGGAAATACTTCTCCAAGTCCACGGTGGCTTCTGAAACTTTTCTGAAAAAATGTCTGTATTTTGAGAATGGACAGATCAGCTACCCTGGGATTAATACACATGTTTACCTAGAACAGTATTTTTGCATCTTCAAAATAGGATGTCTTGCTAGAGCTGTTATGGGGTCTTTACTTTAAGAAGACTGTGATCAGTTACCTCCACATCTTAAGGCCACTATATGCTAAATTCTGTAATTAATGCAAAATGTGAATGCACATTTGAAAAAGATTGAGTTATTGTCATGGTTTCAGCTGGGATGGAGTTAACTTCTTTTACTAGCAGCTGGTATGGTGCTATCTTTTGGATTTGGGAGGAGAAATAGGGTTGATAGCGCATTCGTGGTGTTGGTGGGTGCTAAGCAGTCAGGGCCTTTTCTGCTCCTCACACCGCCCCGCCAGCGGGGGCTGGGAGTGCACAAAAAGTTGGGAGGAGACACAGCTGGGACAGCTGACCCCAACTGACCAAAGGGATATTCCATGCCATATGATGTCATGCTCAGTATATAACGCTGGGGGAAGAAGAAGGAAGGGGGGGATGTTTGGAGTGATGGCATTTGTCTTCCTGTTACACGTGAGCTCTGCTTTCCTGGGGGTAGCTGGACACCTGCCTGCCCATGGGAAGCAGCGAATGAATACTTCGTTTTACTTTGCTTGCATACGCAGCTTTTGCTTTACCTATTAAATTGTCTTTACCTCAGCCCATGAGTTTTTCCTCACTTTTGCTCTTCTGATTCTCTTCCACATCCCACCATGGAGGAGTGAGAGCGTGGCTGACGTGGTCCTAGCTGCTGGCTGGGGTTAAACCATGACAGTTATCCTGCAGGAACAGCGCTGCTTTGACAGCTGCTGTCTTTGTGGTTTCTGTGACTCCCTCTCTGTTATAGGGTACTATACTTTAGAGCTTGTGCTAGCAAAGAAACTTGAGGGCGGATAGTCTTTATGCACCAGTTACAAAGATGCTGTGTTGGGTCTACAGAGTAGGTACAAGGCCCTGAGAGAGGCAAAAAACTTTCTTCTTATGTGTGTGGAATGTGCACAAGCTGTTTGATTAATTGGCAATATGGCTAGAAGGAGCAGTAAGGAAGCTGCATAGTTCTCAGTTATTCTTCTGTTCCCTGGCAGAGTCAAACCATATCACTCTTCATAGTTGCAGATGTTGTACAGTGCAATTTTAAAAGCTGTAGTGATGACTCTGCAGCAATCACAGTCGTGTTTCATTATTAATTATCACCAGCTTTTTCTTAATAACTAACTTTCCCTTGCTCCATTTTGGTGTTACTTTGAATTCTCTGTGTCCATGGAAAAATTATTATTCCCTTTTCCTTTTACGTACCTAAAAGTCATTATCTTGTCCTCTCTTGAATATCTTTTCTCTGCACTAAATAACCCTAACTCTTTCACTGTTTCCTAATGAGCTTTATTTTCAAGGCATCCGTTCATTTTTTGTTTTTCTCTGTTCTTCTTGCTTGTATGTTTCTTGAAATGAATTGTCTGTCAACAGGGAACTGCCAAGGCTGAAATAGAATCTATCAGTTCAACCTGTTTTTAAAAAATAAAGATACTTACTATATGATAAGTAACCATGTTGTCTGATGCCAGCACGTTATTTAAAAGCCAGACACTGATGCATTTACTGTTGCTTTTAAGGTAAATCTGAAACTTACTAAAAGAAGTCACTTCAGTGAGCTCAGCAGAGCACTCTGGTCACATCTGCAGCCTGCCATAAAAGGCATCTCATTCACCACTGGTTGCTACATTTCTTTCTCTTCCCTACATCTCTCCAAATATGCTCCTCTGGTCACTTTTCTCTGATAAAAACCTATGCAGCTGTCTCTCAGTTCTCACTCCAGTCTGCGTAAGTAAACACTGTACCAAGCACTAAGTGGTTTTGTTATCCAGAAGCAGCAGTGAGATGGGACTGAGATGGCATTAATAGCAAGTAAAGGCATGTCTTCAGCTGATTTTTTTAAGTGTTTCCTTGGAGTCAGTCTTGGATGAGAAGGTTATAGAGGTAAAGTTTTACCTTCTGGTGCTGAATCAGTGGTATGTAGGGTCCTCAACCCAGCAGAGGTGACAAGAGGGCACCTCTAATCACAGCAAGTTTTTGCAGCTACTGCAAACACGGTGGTCTGAACTCATGCTGAACTGGCTGGCACAGTGGCTGCCTTGCTTTAACTCTACTTGTTTAGATTTTTGTACGTTTATATCAGCTTAACCTTTCCTTTATGCACTCTTACTAAAAACTGCATCCAATATTATAGTTTGTTCCCCAGATCATCACAGTACATTTCAAATTCATTAAAAGCTGGATAGTGGTACATAAATACTTAGCCATTAAGAATATTCTTCTAGTGAGAGTGTTTCTAGGGATGTTGTCCCATTAAATATTCTTATACTAATGTTTCAGTACCTTTTATTAATGAATAAGACAATAGCACTTTTAGACATAAGTCATAGCGCTTTCAGAGGATCCAAAAGCTGAAGCTAAACAAATTCATGCCATAAATGTCTATCCAAACTATGTACCATTTAACTGAGTGTCATCATTCTTTTCTGGATTAGGTATTGAAGCTTGTCTGCACTGTAGAGGAACTCCCTTTAGATGACTCCCTACAGATAGTTCTGTCTGGTCTTGACCCATCTACTATTTCAAAATCTAAAAGTTCAGCATGAATTTTTGACACCTATTTATAGATGCAAATCAGGTACTTTATATGTAACTGGGCCAAGGTAGAGCTTTTATTTCTCTTCAGAGTTTCTCTTTCCCCAGTTACCATAGACTCCACCTGTATTATACCTCTTACTTATACTATGCCTTCCTATTTTGACTTGGTCCTTTATTCTAGGTCAGAGTGTTATCTGAATTTTACTGCTAAATTTCTGCATGTTTTCTCAAAGACTGTCTCTTGTCTGTAGCTTTGTTAAAAATCCTTCAAGCCATATTGCCTCTGTTACTTCACAATTCTATCAAATCATATTCTGAGATATCCTCTTTTTCAGTTTAGACATATCCCATCTTAGAATTCATTTAGAGTACTTCTGTAAAAGTTCTTTTTCCTGGCTCATTGCTTTCAGATCCACCTCCATCTCTCCATGCTCCACTGCATCAAATACAATTAGATGTCATCTTTAATATTCTTTTCTGGTTTATTTTATGTCTCACTAGTCTTCTTCTCAAATATTAAGATATTGATCTTTTCCCACCTTCACGTGAAAAATGAGGATGCTCTTGATTGCATATTTTTCAGCTACTTTTCAGCTTGCTTCTCCAGTGAGCATCTCTTCTGTTTTCCTCCTGTAGACTTTACAAAAGGGATAAACCCTTTTTGTAAAGGCAACAGAGTTGTCTTGTAGTCCTTCTTAAAACCCTTATTCTTCTCGATTACAGACTATTGGTCAGGTAGTTGATAATGTTTCTATTGTATGTCCATGTTGTGTATGTTGTTTTGGGGCATGGTAGCTCTTTTTGCTACATGTTTGTGCAGTGCTTCAAACTGATGAATAATGTTATCTCCAAACTAAGAAGATACCTTTGCAGAAATGTAGTGAATACTGACAACGAGTTGATTAAAATGCATTCTAGCAACTAGCTGATAATAACAGTTTTACATCATGGGGATCTACCAAATATGCCTTTCTGGAAAAGATGGTTCCTACAGGCTTAGAAGGAACTTTCTCCCAGTTGCTCATTTAACTAACAAACATTAGGCTCTGAACATATTTATGTTCCAAAATTAAGTAGGAACAACACTAGAAATGAAAGAGATTTCCTTCTGTTAGTAATTTCTGTGAGTAATCAGACTTGAGAGGGAAGATTAAGCCTATAATTATTTTTCTTATGCATTATCAATGAAGGAAAAGCTCCAGGAAACTGAATATATATGGTTTTGCATAGAAAGTGTTCATAAAAGAACAGGAACTCTGTCTGCACTATAAATATATATCGTTAAAAAGATATTGGAAGTTTGTAAAAGTTAAAATAGTTATGTGGGGGAGTTGTCTCTTGATTTTTAGCAACAAAGTATAAAGTATGGTTTAAAGACTGCTTTAGAAAGCACTTGAAATTCCTAATATTGGTGGAGGGAGGTGGGAGGAGAATTGATATTCTTCTTTAATAGGAACCTAAGCACTATTGCTGGAGTGCATGGAAGGAAAGAAATGAAAATTACAAGTTTTCTTTTCGTGTTCAAATCTTAATGAAATTTATAAAGTGAACAAGTGAAAAATAAATGATAAGTTAATGTATTTTTACAATGTAAAGCTTTTCTAATACAAAGAGGTGGGTGAGGCAAGGAAATTTCAGTCTTTATAGTTCTTGGAGATAAATCAGACTTTGTAACTATTTGCAATTGATCCTACTATCTTAGGTTTTCAAGATCAAAGCCGTGCAATTGGCAGGAAAACTTCTTCCAGCCTTCAACACACCTACGGGTATACCATGGGCAATGGTGAATCTGAAAAGGTAATGAATTTTCTTTTGTGGGGAAGCATGTTCCTCCCCCTCCCTCCAACTTAAAATTAGTAATGGCATATGTCAGGTTTTTTAGTTAGTGGAACTGTAGAAGACGCTGACCAGTTGGCATTACTGGTACTTCAGAATAATTTCCGTTGAAAAAATTCTGCCTCATTAACTGCAGTACATTCTGACCATGGCTTTTATCTCCTGATTCAACATGACATTGGAACATACTCAGTGTATTATGCCATGTATTGCCCTAGAGCTTAATTATTGGTTCTTTAGTCATTAAAGAACCTATTAAAAACCAAAATTGTTTGCAGGCCGTGTTTGAACATACTGGGGTTTATGTACTGTGTGAGCTGTGTGTTACCTTTAGAAGACTCAAAATTTTTGAGAAGATGATGGGACTCTGAAGATATTAATTCATTTTATAGTTCAGCTTAGGTATAAAGGCTAGTGTGCTGAAGTCCACTATGGTCCATGGAGATGAAGAGGCTCCTTTAGATGGCTGTTCAGGTCAGACACTGAATTAGATGGCCTGCATTGCCCTGCGGAAGAGAATCGCTTTGTCTAATTTATCTTGTAGTGCTTGTTCAATGGTGGGATTTCCCTCTGAGTTTGAGAGAACATTTTTGATGCAAGCCACTTTATAAATTTTTGTTATGTTCTTAAACAGCAGCTGAATTGGGATGCACGTCTAGATTGTGTGTACACTTAAGAATTCAGGATAGTAAATATCAGAGTTTTTGAATTGTTTTAAACTGTTTCCCTTTAGGATAGATATTTGTTGTGCTTTGTTAGACTGCAAAGAGGTTTAGGACTACTTTGAGAGCATTAGCCTACATGCCTTTTTTTGATCAGAACATGATCCTCATTTTGCTGTCACTCCTTGGGTGAAGACCATGGAGCTGTGGTTTGCCCTTCTGTTGGCCCAGGGTCTCACCACCCTTGCCTGGTTTTGTCTGCTTTGCCTGTGCTGCACTTGCCGCATACTTTGGGCCTCTGTACAATTAATATGATTGAGTTAAACTTCCTTATGCACTTTCTGCACAGCATTATGGTTTACTCAGTCTTGTGTTCTTCCTGCGGTTTCATACAGCTTGAAATTCCTCTGTGCATGGGTTTGTTTGGTTTTGCTTTGTTTAGCCCAGGCCTGCCCTTTGATTCCAGTATGTTTGAGTGGCCCGGGTGGCGCTACTCCTCGGGCAGCACGGGCATCTCGTTCACTGGCTTGAGCAACATAGACGGCGAGGATTAAGGAACTGCAAGCAGTAGACACGTGGATATTTACCAGTAAAACATGTAGGTCGGGCATCAGAGCACAGTCAGGAAGGCAGGCCCAGGGAGGAGGATTTGCAGTAGGCGGAGGGGAAAGGATTGGAGTGCCAGAAATTTCCTGGGTGCTGGTATTGTTTATGCATTTACTGTGTCAGTGTCTTGGTAATGTACAGAACCAGCTGGCATTACAGCAGTGACAGAAAATAGTGGCTGGCATGCCAGGGGGCAGTGACGGTAGCAGGTGTGTATGACAATACTTACGGTGAGGCTGACATGCAGTAAAAGCCAAGACCTGAGAGAAATATTTGGAACGTTGTCGACTTGTGTTTTATTAGCTTTTGTATTCACAATTAAACACTTAATTTTCTCTTTTTATGACAGCTGTACCAAAAAAAACCCTGAGACAAGCTATGATTCTGTCTCTCTACACTCTGTAATAAACAGTGGTTACTGTACTTTAAAAGGTGGTGTTCTATCTAAGGTCAGAGCTACAAATGCTGCCCCATTACCAATATTTTTCCTTTATATTTCCTCTTTCTAATTTATAATTTAAAAATAATTAGGAAGACATTCCAATTGATTGTAGTCTTACTGATAACGGAAATCTTTTCTGAGAGGAAGTTGAAGTAATCTGCAGGAAAACATAGTTATCTTCGAAATTAAAAGACTCGATCCTGAAAGGTGGTGAAAACTCCCAAATTAGATTAAACCAGAGGTAATTTAGGAGTTATGACTTAACAAGTTGGTATCTCTTAGAGTACAAAAGATACGAGGTATATGGCATTTCCTGTTGATTCTTTGTGAGCCTGAGGAACTCATAATATTCTGTCTATGCTAAACACGCTGTTTTGCTATGTAGATACAGATAGGGCCCAATCCCGTCCTGCTGGAGTGTCTAATACTGGCTTGAAGCACATCCCACACAAGTAAAGGGAACACAGCAGATGTTTGGCAGAACAAGGAAGTGAATGCTGCCACCTTCAGAAGTATACTCATCTCATCTGATAATTACTTTTGATTCCTGTTCTTGGGAATGTACAATGAATAAACAACAATTGAGATTGGGCCAGTGCCAAGTTGTCATATTTCTGTGACATCAAGATATTATATCTTTTAATCACAGGAGTTTTTGTTGATGAGGTTATGGCATCTTTTTTCCAAAAAGATGCAACCAGTGAACTAACCAATCAATCAAACCACGACTCCTGTAATCTTAAGCATGGGTTAATATTTTGCTGTTCCTTGTTTAATTGATATGGTGGTTATTAGTGCTGTGCACAGTAATTTTGATTTTTTTTGTTGTTGTTTTCTCCCTTTTTCATGCATACTTGTTGGAATTCAGTGGTGTGGGTCGAAACTGGGGCTGGGCTTCTGCCGGCAGCAGCATCCTCGCTGAGTTTGGTACTCTGCACATGGAATTTGTCCACCTCAGCTATTTGACAGGGGACCCTGTATACTACAACAAGGTGGGTCTCAAATTCAGTTTTTTTATCATACAACTGTCTTTTATACCATTTCATCATAAATTGCATTGAAGCGGAAGTACTTTCTATATTGCATTCTATTTGCATTCTTGGTAGCAGGTAAATTTTTTCATACTTGTGTTTCTGTTACCAAATAGGTGACTACTTCAAGTTTTCTTACTTGTTTCAGCATACATTTAAAAATCATAATTTTTAAACATGTTTATGTGAGCAGTCCTTTAAAAGCAAAAATATACTAATCTGCAGGAAGCCCTCAAGAAAGCTTAAGATTAAGAAAACTTATTACTTAAAAAAAAAAAAAAGAGTAGATGAACATTGTTAGTGGTGATCCTGATTCTTGATTTAATTTAGGTCATGCACATTCGGAAGTTACTTCAAAAAATGGATCGTCCTAATGGACTTTATCCAAATTATTTGAATCCAAGAACAGGCCGGTGGGGTCAGCGTAAGTATTCTTATTTTATTCATTCCTAATTAAAGCTCTACTTCTTGTTTTGTTGCCGAGTTGAAGATCAGAAAAGTTATTCTGTAGAACCTGAACAGCATTGCTTGAAAACATCCGATGTGGAGGGATTGCTTAGACTTGAGATCTCCTGAAATCAATTTTTTGCCTGTCGCTCTCTGCAGTCATGCAGCTCAATTTTTATGGTACTTACTGAAAGCAGCTGCCTACTAAATCTGATTCCTATCTGTACTTTTATCAGTCAACAAAATCTTCAGTAATAAAGAATGAGGCTGAAAATAGTTTCCTCATTTTGATTTTGTTCCTGGTTTTGTTCTGCAAACCATCTGGTTAGTGGATTACTGTAAGGTAACGTATAAGTAATGCGTGTTTGTGGTGGTTAAATTTGAGCTGGTATTAGGGATTGACATTTCCAAACATCATTCTTCTACTTAGTGGCATTTGAAATGGCATGGTGAACCTCCCAATTGATCCTGCTGTTATCAATGCATCTCATTGAAAAATAATAAAAATAAAGGCTTTGGAATGAAAAGAAAAAAAAATGGTTTTGTTCCTGATAATGTAAATGGGGAGATAAAACGTGACGATAGAGACACAAACATGATTCCTTTTCTTCAAGTCGTTCTTCCAAGAAAAGTTGAGGGGTTTAGTGCTTTCATAGTGGGTGTAATAAAGGCGAATTCTTTTTCTTCAAGGTTTCTGTTCCTATTTCTTTTATGAATGCAAGTTTACTTAGGAAAAACAAGCAAGATTATCTATTTCAGTCCTGTTTGTCATCATTGACAGGTTTTGGGGATTTCTATAGTTGGCTGTAAATATCCAGCAGAACATGTTCTGGCTTGCAAACTGAGAATTTGCTTCTGACTTTGAGTCTGGTATATGAGGGAAATGAATGCAGCTGTCATTGTAGTGACTGTGAAAAGAGTTATCTAATCTGATCATTAAGGCCAAAGTTCTCTCCAAAGAGTCTAATGTCTTTGAGTGAATAGTGACACCTTCTGAGACGGACACATGGATTGACGAGTAGAGACAAATTTAGGTTTAACAATAAATTCAGAAAAAAGAAAGGGAACAAATACAAATATTCACTTATTATTTATTCAAAAGACAGTTTTATATAGTTGTTCTGAAATGTTTTTTTCTACTCCTTTTTTCTATTCCTAACCAATTGTTCCTGCTACTTTTATCAAAAGTAGTCTAATGTGGCATATCGCCACGATTCTGTAGGAGCTTTTTGTTACTTGTAATAATAATGATTAGAATTAGCAGCTCTTGGGAAGAATCCTGGTCACTGAGCATACAGTGAAAATTTTAACTTTGCAGAAGTTTGATGGAGCTCAAATGTACCATTTAAATGAATTTTGAAAGATAATACATTTGGGATTAAAGTTTGGGATTACAGGCTGAGACTTAATTTCTTAGGATAAAAAGAAGTACAATTTTATAGAGCCTTTAATTTTTCTGTGCTGCTCGTTAGCCACAAACTTATTTCCTGGAATTTGGTGATTGGGTTTTTTTATTTGTTTGTTTTGAGCAAATAAGTTTCCAAGTGCAAATACAGATATTTTGGTGGTGTTTCTGAGACGTCTTCAATGCACCAAGCATTTGTAAGCATATCTTGAAAAGTTTTGTGGGGACAAGAGAGCAAGAATCCCTAACTCTGTTTTTCCTGCCACAAAACAGGATGGAATGTTGAGAAACTGTCGTTGTTGTATCCCTGATAGATCACTCTTCAGTGAATCTATTTGCAGAAATTTAGGAAGTTACAGTGAAGTTACACATGCACTGAAACTCTGGATGTATGAGCTGGAACAGCTGGGGCTTAGACAGGAATTTTGCTTCTGATTCTCCTGCAGAGATTGTATCCTGCATCACAGAAGTCAGTTAAGTAAGGGTGATGCCTTCGCACACTACATCTCAGTTCACTAGAGGACTCATGTCAGAGTCCACAATACTGTTACTGACTTGAGTCACATTGTTGGTATTGAGGACAGGCAAAGCTTTTATGTCCTCCTTGGAAGGTAATTTCAAAGAGCATCGTGTTTGGCTTGTTATATGCTTTAGCACTGGAAAGACTGAGACAATGGAAAGAGTACTAAAGCATAACTTTTCTTCCTGCAGCTTCTGGGAAAGCTGCCCTTTTTGTCTTTGCTGTGACCTTTAGTTTGATGCATCTTATCTGGTACAAAGTACTTTCTCCAGATTGTTTCTGAGAATTATTTCAGAACTCTTTATTTGCCTACATACCTGTAACTCTTGAATCTGACCTTTCTGGGCTTTTTTTTTTTTTTCTTCCTTTTAACATTTTTTTTTCCTCCTCAGACTTTTTTGGCTCAGTTCTAGTTAGGTTTTCTGTTAATCTGTACAGTGTTCCAACTAAATCATGAAAGGTAGGAAATAGGTAAAATAAATCTACATAAATCATACATAAATAATACACTGTTGAAGAAAAAAAGAGATTTAGCTGCAATATAGCATCATTCTAGTGGTGGATTTATTTTCTCTTTCTATACCTGTCATTCCAGTGGTGAGCATTTTCTAGTGCTGGGTAACTTTATTCAAAGTAATAAAAATATCAATGATGTGCACATAGCAGTCAGACTAATTAATGTTATTACTACCAGTTGATTATCCAGAGAGTATCGAACAAAATAGATAATGGGAGAATCCATTCAGGTCAAGTTTTCTCGGTAGTTATGGTTTTTTTTACCTTTTATTTTATTTTTTTTAAGAAAAAAAAATATTATTTGAATAGAATAAAAAAAATACACTTCTGTGTTGGTTTTATATTTAATTTTGTTCTAACAGGCTGAGAACTTGAATACTTAAAGGCAATCCTGTTGCAAGACAGATTTGTGGAAGAAAAGAGAAGTCTCAAACATTTTCTGTGGGTTTGGTGTGGCCTCATAGGACTGTAAGCTGGATGTATCTACTTGCAACAAGAATTTTTGTGGAAAATTCTTGATACCTTCTACTTTGATACTTGATACAGTATTTTGATACTACTTAGAGGTATTTACACAAGGAGCCTAGGCACATCCTCATTTTGTGCTTCTAATAAAAAAAAAAAATCCACAAGGATTGCATCAACTTTGACTTACAATCCGAAGTATTAAATGTGCCTTTGAAATACCCCATTTAGAAATCTTTCCTTCCTTTTTCCTTTTTGCTCCAGAGATCTGTTCAGTAATTTATGCTGCTGTATAAGTAACTTCTTAGCACATGTAAGGTCTCACAACATACTGCCTTTCTGTCTTTTGAATCTTGGATTTCGCACACTCTAAATGCGATGTTGTCTGTCAGAACCTTGTATGAACTGGATATAACTCACAAATACGAAGTTTATGTCTCAGCTGCTGGTACTGGGAAATTAGAGTAATAAAATTCAGTGCTAGGTCTTAAGGGGAAGGTGATGTGTATTTGTTTGAGTCATTAAGCCAGTTGATTTTTACCTACTCTCATATCCTCATAATTCATTCATACTCACAGGTACAAAGACACATCCAAGTTGTCAGGACTCAAAGGAAAAGGGGACACTGGCTGTCCAGTCCTCTTCACGTATCTAGGGTTCTTGAATGACGATGATGAGCTAGTTTTTGGGTAGATCTCTTGAATGACGATGATGAGCTAGTTTTTGGGTAGATCTCTTAGCCTCATCCCAGATCAGCAATTGTTACAGGGTTTTTCTATCCCTCAGAATATTTCTGTCTTTAGCCTCCATAGATCTTGGGCCATGTTGCTGTGTCTTGTCTATTTTTCCTCATTTAAATATATGTTTAAAATACATGCCCATCGTCTGTTTTCTTCTTGGGTTGGAGGAAGGAGAATGGTGTATGTGATATGCTGCAACCTTCTTCTGATGTTAGGATGCACGGTCTTCTGCTGATGAGTCATTTCTGCTGTGGTTTGATTTGTCAGAGTGGAGGCCTGTAGGTCTTGATATCAACAGCATGTTCTGCAATTTCACTGCTGGGGAATGATGTTCTGGGGACAGTGCCCTGTGACATACGGACCGTCCTTTTGTTGTTGTGCTGATTCTGCTGGTGCTTACCAAGAATGTTTTCATTCAAACAAGACAATATTTCAGTTAAAAAATATCTGAAAAGCTATGATCAGGAAAGTAACTTACCAGGCAATTAGTAACTATGGTTTCGTCAAGGATGTGACCATTACTTGCAGGTTCTTCACAAGTTTGAGAGATGAGTAGTCACATAGTGTCACGTAAATCTAATCTATAGCCAAGTCTTTGTATTGTTTACACTTCCATGGATATAAATTTCCATGTGTTTGACATGGCACTTGAAGAAGGGTTTTGGTGGCAGATTATCTTTTCTTGTTCTTCCTGCCTGGTGAAGCAGCAGCAACTAGGGTCAGGAGCCACAGCAGGCAGGGCTGCACAGGGACTACCGTTCCATCTCATCTTTTTTTTTTCTTTTTTTTTTTTTTCCATTTGAATACCATAAAACCCTAAAGTCCTAAAAACTGCCAGGTGAATGGCTTACTGGTCACTGCTAAATCTCCATGCTTTCCAGTGGAAATGCTTCATAATGCAGCTGTACATGACTGGGCCCTTACTGCTGTGTAGCAGGAATTGAGTGCATTATACCCAGGAGGAGGAAAATTATGTCATCTGTAGGCTAAATATTTGTGTTTAAGCTTGTAATGTGCAGGTATTACTACAGCACGAGTGGTATGACAGACAGCTTTTTAATGGGTTCAGCTCAGGATTTGGCAGCTCACTGGGGCTTTTGCTAGAAGGCAGAGCTGCAATGCCTACAAGAACGTTGACAGATTCAATTTTTACTTAAGGACTAAGGTGATGGTCCAGTAGGAACAAGTGATTTACAATACTTCTGCCCTGGGGATTCAGTTTCTGTAAGACTGAAGTGAAAATAGCTGACAAGAAGCATATTCTAACCTCTCACATGAACCTCTAGTTGACTTTGTTAGCTTTTCCTTTCTCTTGGTGAGTAGTTGGTTTGGTGTAAGCGTTAGAACTTTCAATTTAGATTATTTTAAAAAAACAGTGACAGTGCTTTCTAGAGAAGCCTGCTAAGAGATGTAACGACTAAAATTTGATTAAGAGCAAGAGATTTCAGAATTATGGAAATTAATTTGTAATGAAAAAACCCATATTTTTTAAAAAATGAAAATATGGTGAGAAAACTTAATTCTAATTCACATTTGCAAACAGGTTAGGTGAGAATACCAACTAGAAAGCAGTAACAACAAAAAAAAAGCCAATCTGCATGTTATTGCCAAGTCAGGACATGCTGCTCATGTTTGCATATTTCTGTAAATTGCGCATTCTTCCTTTCTACTTTTTAATATTGAGAACAAATCATTGCATTTCATCTGGTTCCAACATCTCTTGCAAGTAATAATGTTACTGAAGAGGAACTCAAATCGCTCTGGCTTTACATCTTACTTCCTGCAATTGGGCTACCTGTGGAGTTACCTGCGTTGGTTACGAAGAAAGTTGTGTCGGTTTAGCTAAAATTGCATTTTAGTCTGTATCTGCCTTCTATATGCAAGAAAATAAGCAGAGATGTCTATTCTATGTGTTTATTACACCTTAGTGATATGTGAGCACATTAACAAGTTACTGTGAAGTAAGCTAGGATGTGAATTTACGGTGCATGGACTGCGCATTACTATTGGGAATGTAATAGCAGATACTGAAATTACCATCACTTAACGCTGATGTGATGACCATTCAGACTGCAGTCAATTCTACAGTGCTTGGTTTGTGACTCCTTACCGAAAACAAGCCCCTTTAGTCAGACTTGCAAGTGAACTAAGTTAAAAACCCGATGAGGGAGACTGTCAGCAACTTTACAAGGACTCGCCAACAATGTGACATACGTGCACATATGTGTATTTAATGCACTAAATTTAAATGCTGGCTTTCATGTACAAAAAGCGATGACTAGCCTGTGTACAAAGTGATGATTATCCTCTAAAGACCAATAAGAGAATTCACACAGGTATTTAGCCTGCCTTGTCACACACACTGCCTTAGCACCTTAAGGTGGTGTTCTCGCTGTCTTGCAGTTCCCCGCATCTGTTACTACAGAGTAAGTAGAGGTGCAACCAAGGTGGCTGAATGGGAGAAATTGATATCTTCTGTTTCCCAGTTGTTTGTGCTGTAGACCAGCCTTTAAATAAACGAAAGCAAATTTCTTTGTGCATGTGCATATTTCAAGTTTCTTCAGGTGGTCTTCCATGGTTAACACTAAATGCTTAAATTAAACCAAACTAAGCACTTTTAATTTTCAAATACTATTTAGAGAAGGCTTCTGTGGATTTAATTTGATTGGATTAGATTTACACTTCCGTTAAAATGGTGCAATTTTGACATGTAGGAAAAGCAATAAAAACAATTTTAAATTACTGTCATTAAATCAGTGCAAATATTGGGTGAATATTCCTAAATTTTTATGCCTGACTGTACAGCTGGTTTTAGTCCAATGCTCTTGGGCTGAGCTAGGTAATTAACTGAACTGCTTCATTTAAACTCTTGCAGGTAATAGACAAACCATGAGTAATACACCCTATCTGTTTTCATTTTTGATATGACATTTTAGCAAATACATAGCACCATCTGTCTATATTTATTTGTCAGTATTTAAAGGAAAATTGAAAATTAATTTGATCTAACTGTTTGCAATGCACTTTGTTAAAGTCCGCTGCATCCAGCGGATTCTGAGACCTGGGAATTCCTCCTTCCCAGCTATTGAAGCCCAGCCAGG